CCTCTGCTATATTCATTAGATCACATCTATCATATTCAATCCAGAAGCAAAATCAGTGAATTGTTTTACAGACTCAATGATCCAACTACTCTTGGCCTGGTTACTCACATTCGACTACAAGCTCTTCAGGAACAACGATGGAGTCATATCTCTGTTTTACAAAATCCAACTCCTGAGCAATCACCAACGGGAAAAAATCTCATTGCAAACATATTACCACTTTTAACAGAAAGATCCTTTTCGCTCTATCCTACACATCGCATAACAATCAACACTCTTGCACAACTTAACAATCACTTCAAATGGCCGCTTGAAAACATCTTGGGTCCGTGGCCCATATATGCCAAATGCAGAAATATTCTAAGACATGATCATGTGCTCACTTTATCACAACTAACCAAATACAACAACACACAACTCATCACATGGAAACAATACAAATCACGTTTTCGTCAAACTAGACATGGACCCAAACCATGGTGGTTCGCACTTCTTGAAGAAAGAACATTAAATACTTCTACTTCATCCCGTCAAATCATTAATACATCCTGGATTCCAGGAAAAAACTACTACAACCCATCACTTACCCCTATACACAATACTAAACTATCCACCACCAACAACAACATTCACACCTGGTCTCGCACACAAAACCAACTAGCCAACAAATCCTTTTTAAATGTCTATACTGATGGTTCTATCCAACAAATGAACACAAACTTCGTTAGATATGGTTCCGCTTGGACAACATGGCCACCTGACATCAATCAAACTGGCGCTCCATTACAATGTATCTCTACTACATCCACTGAAATTGCCGCATTATGTATGCTCACAGAGAATCTCAATCCATACACAACAGCAACTATTCACACAGACTCTCTATCTACCATACAGGGTTTCAACACCAACATCACCAATAGAAACAGTCTCAGCAGTAGGAAAACTCTCCAATACACCAACTGGCCATATTGGAAAATTATCAACGACTCCATAACTAATAACAAATTAAATATCACTCTCATTAAAGTAAAAGGACACTCAAAAAATCCTGGAAATGAGCTTGCAGACACTCTAGCTAAATCCGCATGTCATGCCTCTCCCTTCTCCATTAACTTCAACAAATTACCAGACATTAATTTTTACCCTATTTTTAATCACTCTACTCCAATTATCAACAACATCAGGAGAGCTCTCAAAACTCAAGATCGTATTTCATTCAAACTTATTTGGCAATTCTCCTCCAATATTCATCCCTTGTTGAATAAAGGGTTTACTGATACAATCGATTGGAACGCCACCCATCTTACATGGAACCGAGATCAAGGCATCCACTCCATGCATGCGTCTTCGCTCAAATCGACCTTTCGCAATTTTTGCCTCAAAAGCACTCATAATTTACTCCCCACACTTTCCAATCTTCACAAATTTTGGCCACAGCTTTACTCTGATAATCTTTGTCCAAGATGTCTTGGCTGCGAGGAAACTACTGATCA